AAAACCTGAACTCTAAACCCTAAAACCTAAACTCTAAACCCTAAAACCTGAACTCTAAACCCTAAAACCTAAACTCTAAACCCTAAAACCTGAACTCTAAACCCTAAAACCTAAACTCTAAACCCTAAACCGTCTACATCCAAAGCCGCTGCCCGAGCCTTACCCTCCTCGATGGTGTCATCGAGGCGGCCCCGAAGGTTCTTGGCATCCGCTACGGTGATGACCTTGGGTTTGGGGTTTATAGGGTTTAGGGTTTAGGGTTTAGGGTTTAGGGTTTAGGGTTTAGGGTTTAGGGTTTAGGGTTTAGGGTTTAGGGCTGGGCCGGTGCTTCCTGCATCCCTATTTTGCCGTGAAGAAATACACAATATGTAGCATAATAGCTATAGCATTGTTACTACTGTCGATCTGTCTATCCATCCATCCATCTATCTAGCGATCTATCTATACATACATCCGCACATACATACATCTAATTCTGTTTCCTTCTCTCTAGAATACCGGAATACCTCGAGTTTAGCCTTTCGGGTCGAGCGCTCAGGATTTGGGGTTTGAGGCTTGGGGTTTGGCTCGACTCAATGTAAGGGCTTGAATAATTGGAATAGGGTTTTGTATACTACAATTATATTGAGGAACCCCTAAAATATAGGTAATTATTCAGGATTGCTAAGGCCCCTATATTAGGGTTCAGGGTGCCTTTTGAAAGCGCCCTTTTTCCGTTGCCAGATCCTGAAAGCCCCTCAAGGACTGGAGGCTTGGACCAGCAAATTTAGGGATTAGGGTTTAGGGGTTAGGGTTTAGGGTTTTGGGTTTTGGGAGCCTCGTGCCTTCGAGTTTCGGGCTAAAGGCGTTTTTGGGGGTCGGGGGTGGGGAGATTGAGATCCAGAACTTGGCGTGCCAAGGCTTGGCGTTTTAGTTTTGCGCTTTGGGTCTTCTGGTTTCGGCTGTCGGGGCACTGAGATCGGGTGCGGGTTCGAACTCTGCAGGCCAACTTATAGTAGAATAGGTACCTGAAAAGGGGGTCAGGCACAGATTGAACTGAGTGTGCGAAGAGTGTACACGTCACTAGACGGTTTCTGCGTCGACGGATTTGGGGATGGTAGTGATGACGATGATCGTGAGTCGAATGGCTTTGCCGACCGTGAGCAGCATCACGGCACTTCTTCCTCCCAACACTGTCTAGCCTTGATTCAGGTTCTAGCTATGCAATACACTGTATATTGAACGTGATTCCGGTTTGGGCATTTGGGCATGAGCCACAAATCAACGCTGTCAAGTCCATTCGTCAAGCCTACCTCGAATCCTGAGTGAAGCCTGGAACCAAAGCGACAAAGCTGCTGCATGAGCGCTACTTGATTCCATCCTTAGGAACTGACGGCATCAAGTCGAAGATCGCACCTGTCATGTGGGTAGTTCTCTAAATTAGGGCACCCTTTGTAGGTCCCAAATATAGTACGGCACCCTCATAAACAGGATCCTAAAAGGGGCCCTAATTTAGAAAACCACCCACGCGTCTCGGATCTCATGGCAATCGCTGAGAGCAGCTGTAGACCCACCCCAATGCACATCATGTACGGTCCCAAAGTCACATCATGCACGGGGGAAGACCACCCCGAAACCTCAAACCCTCAACCCCGAAAGCCCTAAACCCTAAACCCTGAACCCCTAAAGCTCTAAATCTATGGGTATCCTCCATTTCATGCTCAGCATGCTGCGAGACTTGGAGAGGGGGCGAGCTTATGAGCCAGGCTCAGCTTGTCGCTAACTTTGCCATGCCAATAATGAAGGGGCCTTAATAATTAGAACCGGGTTTGGGGTATAATATACTATAATTGTAGTAAGGAGCCCCCAAGACATGCTATTGGTAATTATTTCGGCGTCTATGTTAGATGATCTGAGCCGGTTTTGGGCCATCTCTGTCCTAGCGCAGACATGACTGTGTTGGGCAAGCTCGCATTTGAAGGCGCCTTGAAGAGTCGTCTTTCAGACTGGGCGGAAGAAGATGGCTGAGTTGTGGGGCCTCGCTTACTTGGAGGATCATGGGACCTAGTAAGTAAGGTTATGAGTCCCCTAATTGGGGTTAGAAGCATAGTTACCTTAGTTATAACCCTGCTTACTACGAGGCAAGATCCTTTGAGCAATAGGTCGCAAGGTTGACTCCAGAAGCGCGCCAGGGGTTCGTAACCTCTGGGCTGGACATGAAGGTCCGGACGATGGGGACCGGATCAGCCATCCCCTGGTTCCGGGTTGAGGTTTTAGGGTATCGGGTTTAGGATTTAGGTTTTAGGGTATTGGGTTTACGGTTTAGGGTTTAGGGTTTCGGGTTTAGGATGGATGTTATCGTTGAGGCCTTTTTCCATCACCATGTTAAGCATTCCTCGAGAGGAGGAGGCTGTTCACAGTCAGCGGGCCTGCCCTCGGGTTAGGATTTAGGGCTCATGGTTTAGGGTTTAGGGTTTAGGATTTAGGGTTTAGGGTTTAGGCTTAGGGTTTAGGTTTTTGGGTTTAGGGTTTAGGGCTTCTGGTTTCCATCCCCTGGCATCGACCACAGTCAGGCTCATCTACTCAACACCCTTGAGTCTCGCATCATTCATGCCACCGGACCCTGTACCAGTTGTGACTTTGAAGGCGACCCGTTTCACTAGATCAGAAGTATAGCTTTCATATAGTATGCTGGCTGGATTTATCACCATTCGTCTTGTGTTCAGCACCAAGCTTCCTACGGGTCTTCTTCTTCGCCCGAGCTAGATAATTCCGCACAACAAGTGCTTTCATACGGCAGGTACTATGTCAGTTAACGTTCCGGACGACTACTAAATCAGTCAACACGCTGATGATTCCTTCTAGGATTAAGGAGAAACTGGTAACCATATCAATTTCATACTATGATAGTACTCTTGTTGTTGCTGTTTCTCCTTCTATGGTTGTCCTTACTGTTTCTTAGTCTTACTCCTGCTAGTGGCTGACCTTGTAACTGTCCAGAGCTTATCACCTCTACTTCTCATCCTGCTGTAGTTGTGGAGTTGTGGTATGGGAACCTCGATCCAGGAGATTCCTGCTTCGTCTCTGTTTCCGGGGCATACCTAAAGGAAGCTGCCGCGTGCCGTCGTCTCGATCATGATTTGGTCGATCTGCTTGCCCTCCTTGAGATCATCCAGGATCTCCTGCAGCCTGCGCTCCCGGTTCCCGGCATCAACCGAAAGATGAATGCAGCCCTGCACCGGCCCCTTAAACTATGCGAAAGCTGCCTGAAACCTGCAGACCTGGAACTTACGCAGAAGATGCAAATTTGGAAGAAGCCGGCTATGCTTCGCGATCGGATGGAAGAGAGCTTCGAGCGCGGGTCAGGCAAGCTTATTGGGTTCCGGACATCCAGCGCACTGCTGCAACAGCTAGAGTGTGATTCAGGACTTGTTCACGAGCCTTTTTGCAACTGCCTGAGCAGAACTGTGAGGGACTGCAACACCATTCTGTGCACCCTTCGGGTTGGGCAATGGTGCAATCGAATTGCCTTCAGGCATCCAGGGGGGGTTGTCCTCACTTAGGCACACCCAGGACTCTCCACCGCAAACTGAGCTGTCGCCCGTCCATCTAGAGTGAAGGAGAGGGGGCTCTGTTTTTGAACAACCCCTTGTAACTCTCGGCTTCGGAGCACACCTAAGACCTAAGTCTAAGTGGCCGCAGCAGTCAACGTTGCGGAAGACACCTCAGCCGGTCCACGCAAGGTCACCGCTTCTCGAGGTCGAGGGAGACCGAGTCTCTTGCGTGGACTAGGTGACTAGGCTGACCATGGCAAACTCTAAACCGACTTTATCTTCGCGAGCTATTCACCTTGATGCCGCTTACGGCTGTACGTGTCGTGGCGTCGTTCGTTTGTCCTTGTCATCGTTGTGGCTGAGGCTGTGAGCAGCTCCGTCGCTGTGCTCGTCATGCTCGTGGTGGTGGTGCTGCTGCGGCCGCTGTTGTGAGCACTGCCACTGTTGTTGTAGGTGGTGACGATGATGGTGATGATGAAGGTGGTGATGATGGTGATGATGATGACGGTGGTGGTGATCATGGTGATGATGATGATGATGATGATGATGATGACGATGATGACGATGATGGTGATGATGTTGATGCTGATGCTCATGCTGATGCTGATGCTGATGCTGATACTGGTGCTCATGATGATGATGATGATGATGATGATGGTGGTGATGATGGTGATGATGACGGTGGTGGTGATGATGTTGATGCTGACGATGATGACGATGATGGTGATGATGCTATGCTGATGCTGATGCTGATGATGACGATGATGATGATGATGCTGATGCTG